AAGAGAAATAAATAACTAACAGAATAAAAATAAAGAAAATAATAAAACTTACTTGTAGAAATATCTAATTTGAGTCAGTTTAAATTAAATAAAGAACTGTTAAATATCTTATAATAATTTAAAAAATATAATTCAGATACTCTTGAGTAAATATTAATATAGTTACTACTTAATAAATATTTAGAAATATAATCAATTATTTAAGATATATCTATTATTATAATACTTATTTTATCAATATTACTTGAAGAAGAAGAAATAAATAAAGATAAAAAGAATAAAATATTATCTTCATCAACTACTAACTATAAATTTAGAGATTTGATAAATAGAATTAGAATATTTGTTATAGTTCTAGAAAAACTAAAGGAAGCTAATTATATTAAAATTATAGAATTCTATGGTGATACTCAAAATTCAATTAGTTAGCTTTAAGATTTTAAAAATGCTTATATTACTAATAGTATTTATAATGAATGAAAAATTCAAATTGTAGAAGCTTATTTGAAAGGATTAGTTGTTATATTGATTTTGGATTTTTGATATTATTTTGAGAGTAAAAGATCTCTACTAAAAATAAGCCATACTTTTTGTTTTATTATTTTTGAGAGTAGAAAATCTCTACTATAAATAAGTCATACTCTTTTTATTTGTTTAGTTATTTAATTTATGTATTTTATTTGTATCTTTACTTTAGTTATAATCTTCATTGATTAATAACTTGCTATTTAATCAATTCAAATCTTGAATTATATTGATTACTAGTGGCTTCACTTAGTCAATCTTTATAATTTCTCTAATTTATTTATTTATTTATTTCTCTTTATTAAGATAATATCCATAGATATTAGTACAAATAGAGATATGCCTATACATATTATATATGTATATATATGCACATATATATACATATTATATATATAGCTACTAACTGATATTGTAAATACTTATACATAATTATATATATAATTAAGTTCATAAATCATCTCCAATTAAGATATTTGTACTCAATAAACAAATGTATTTATTATTATACTGATACAGAAGATATATATAATTGATAATTATAAATATCTATATCTTTATTATTAAAGTTTTATATAAGAATATTTAATTAAATTAGTTATATTGCTGGATTTTAATAATAATATTAATGCAATAATTTAGTAATTCAGTATAAGTCATATCTGCATATATATTCAAATATCTCAATTAAAGTTAAATGATCATTTTTTAGTAAAAATCAAGAAATTACTAATACAAGTTTACTTAATACCAATTTATTAGAAAGTTAACTTATGTAATACAAAGCAAAATCAGATCTTTTTAATAATACATTAGCATAGAAGTGCATTAATAATATTGATCCAATTACTTGGTGGATTGCAAATTTTACATAAGTAATACCTGAATTAACATAATTAGCATGATGTATTTTAACAATTTTAATAATTCCAATATCATCTGCGTAACTGGTTAGCTTTTGCAAATATTTTATAACAAAAAAGAAATTAGTTAAGTAGTAAGCATATTTTTAAATTAGTTTATATTTATAGTAATTATAAATTACAAACTTCTCTAGATAATCAAAAAAAATTATCAAAAAAAATATTAATAATGAAATAAGTATCAATCAATATTATGCTGGTAATAAGAGTGATGAAAGTAAATATCAGGATAATAATGAAAATAAATATTAGGATGATAATGATAATAAATAATTTAATATATCAGATAATAGTGATAATATATTAGAAACATCAAGTGATAGTAATAATTATTGATTAATATATATAATAGTTATAGAAAATAAAAATCATTATTAATTTTTATGAATTCACATCATGTATTTGATTGATTACTATATATGTACATATAGATTATTATGCATATTATATGTATACTATACGTGTATTTGCCCATCTCTAGACACAGATCTTAGAAATCTTTATCATTATTAAAAGTTATAGTTTAATTTCTCTTTCTTTATCTTTAATTATTTCAGTCTCTTTCAACTCTATATCATTAAGGTGAATTCAAGTAAAATCCCACTTATTAATTTGTCATAACAGTAATATATAATATAAAAATAATAATATTTATGAAATAAATAAAAATTATAAAAAAATATGATTTCATATAATTAAGAAAAGATTAAGAAATTAAGGAATTTTATATTACTATAGTAATAATATATATAAGTATTATTTTATAAGTAATTTTTAATTTTTAATAAAGTTAATTTATTAAAATATTAAATAATATTTATAATATATTTATAAAATTAAAAATTATAATAAATTCTTTTTTAAATATATATTCTTTATAAATATATTTATAATTTATTTTAAAAGATATATAATTAAAAAGAATTCTCTATATTTATTATTTTTTATTATATAAAAAATATTAATAAAATAAATTTTATAAATATAATAATTCTTATAATTATAAAATCACTTTGATAAATTTTTTTAAAAAAAATTATTAGTTACTAATATAATAATAATAAATTTTATTAAATTATATTATATTTAAATTATTATAAATAATAATTTAAATAAAAATTTTAATTAATAATAAGATTTTTGAATAATTAAAATTTATTAATTAATCTTATAATTTCATACTTTTAACATTTATAAGTAATTAATTTTATAATAAATTAAATTCAAAATAAAAAAATAAATTATAAAAATTTTGAATAAATAAATTTATTATCTTATATATCTTCTCTTTATATAAATTATGTTATTTATTCTTTTAAACATATTTTTAATTAATTTATAATATGATTTGATCTAAATTTTCTCTAAATTTATTATAAAAACTTTCATAATTTCTCTTTACTTGAAATTTATACTTGATATTTATATAATTATCTATTTGTTTTATTCTATAAATATTCAATAAGATTAAGAGATGATTAAATAAATTAATCAAGAATATTAATTTTATTTTTTATAAGCCAGATTTGAATAATTAATATTTTATATTTATAGTTATTATTATATTAAAATATAACTTTAAATTTGTAAGATTATAATTATTACTTTTTTTAGTAAGAGTATAATAAATTATATTGGCATTTATATTGATATTATCTTCTGTTCTTAGAGTTTTTTTTGACATCTATGACTGTTATACAACATCCATTAGCAATATAATGAAGTACATGATTTTTCTGATTTTCAGTGAGTGAGTATGGATATCTTTGTCTTGGTTTTTGTAAAAGAATATCATTGGCCATATACCTTTGGCAAATTTTAACTACAGTTGATTAACTGAATTGTGCTTTTTTTGGCCATCACAGGAGTGAGATAACCTTCCTGAACCAATACAAAAATTTTGACTCACTGTTCAACCGGTATTGATTTCATTGACGCGAAAAATTAAAAAACAAACACAAATAAATATTTTGTTGGTAGCATTGAATAAAATTCAATAGTCAACGATCGATGCGAAATGACAAAATTATGGAATCACAGGTTCAAGTTGTGTTAATAAAAAATATATTAATAAAATTTAATTGTTTTTTGAACAAAAATTTTATTATGCTTAACATTTTTATAATTTTTATAAATTTGTGGCTATTGCATTAGTGGCTGAAAAATCATTCGAATTTTAAAACTTTCATCTAAGTGATTCCATAATTATGGGAGCCACTGTAAAAATTATTTTTGTTTAGGAACAACAAATTGAAATACGTGTTCAAGGTGTGTTTCTTATATATTTCAAACTTATCAATTAGATTCAAAATGAAAGCACAAGTTAATCAATTTACCGGAACACACTTGCCGGTATTCGGGAACGTCATTTCGATTAGTGATACCAAACATCTCTCTATCAATCTGTAGAAAGTTTTTTTTGCAGTCTTGTTGAAAATATTACCATTTAAGTTAACCTAATTTGTATTAGTTTCCTTCTTCACGCGAAAAATTAGATTCAAAGAATTATAGATCAGCTTGCTCTGTCTTGTTTACTTTATGAAGGTCAAAAAAGATACTATCCGGAAGCGTGATGAGAGACTTACACCACGACACCACGATCGTGTTTCTATAAAGTTATTAGCAACATTGTTACATTCAAATTCAGAAGTTAGACTAGATGCAACGAGTTAGATAGACTGAATGATTTACACAGAATAGAGTATCGCTAGTATTCTAAAGGTCAATCTTTCACGGAGATTGTGAAATCAAAGGAAAGGTATAGTTCAAAAAAAAAAATATTTAAGTTAATTAACAAAGTGATGACAATTTACTAACAAATATAAATTCAAAAATTACCAATTTCTTTCTGACACAAAAGAAATAGAAATCGAAGCGTTTTTATGTAAGAATTTAAAATAATTTATTTTTCTTCAAATCACACATTGCCTGTCTTTCTGACCTTCGAGCACTATCCTAACGTACAATTTTGCTATTACACAACTTTCTAAATTACAAATCTTTTACCACAGGTTTCGCGGGTCATTAAAGTACAAGGTAGGAATTTCACAAAATAAATAATCTATATTATAAAAAGATAATATAATAAAATTATATGTAAAAAATAATTAAAGCAATAAAAATTTAATTATAATTATATGGATCACATAATAAGGGATAACAAGTGTAGGATTTTTAAAAACAATCAAAAACTTGGGAGCGCAAAGGAAGAATTTTCCTTCTTTTGGAGAAGTTGGCGTTAATATTGATACTAGAAGGTAAAGACTTAATAAAATTTCACTCCAGAATATTCCGTAATCACGAGATTTTTCGTTACGACAACACAACTGCGGTTTTGTTATACATAAGAAATCCATTAATTGCGTATTAATTAATTACATAATTAATTAAAATAAACAAACGATAATATTTTACGATATATAGATTATGCCCGTTAGCTCGAAATGCATCATACATACATTGATATACATTATTATATACTGTACATGTATTTCAGAATAAATAACGAAAGAAAAAAGTTCACTCATTTTTAGCATGACAGCAACAATAATAATGCAATACATTTCCATTCTTCTTAAAAAAGAAAATGTGGGTTGGAAAACTAAAGTTTTTCCGATTTATCTCGTCATTAAAATAAAATCATGTGATCTTATCACATGATATGTTACGTTATAGATATGCTAAAATATATTTATAAAGCTTGCTGGAGTAGGTCTTTTTGAGTCTGCTTTGCCTGCTCGACTTCAAGTTGGAACTTTAGACTTGAGAAACCTGTCCCAATATCACATGATATATCAGGTGCCAAATTAGTATTATGCACATACGTAATTGTCAAGAATGCAATATTATAGCATTGTACGTAGTACGCACATAAATATAACGCTCACTTTTCAAGAACAAATATAATCAAGATAAAAAAAGGTTGGTATAAATAAATTATGTGTGAACAATTATAAAGCTGCTTATTAATCTCACGAGAAACCTTCTTCTTGAACAAATAACAAGAGATTATACTTAAAGAATTGGTTGGAATTTAATGTTAGAATAATATAATAGATAAAAGTTAACATTAATATAACGATAAATGAATAATGTTTTTATAGCATTATGCATGCACGTGAATATTACGGATTATTCAAAAAAATTACTAACTTTAGACCGAGTTTTATTAAAACTCAACTTCTAGAGTCAGACCGGATCAACTCGGACTTTTTAACATACTTATTAGCAACATAGTAACTATTTTCCAGTATCAACATGTTATCAAACGCTGCTTAAACATATTTTCGATATTATATATTATTACTAAATATTATTTAATATTATTTAACTTGCTTTTATTTTTATATTATTTAGTATAAATTTAAAGAAAATATAAATAATTAGGCATATAGGTATTAAAATTAAATAACACTATTTTTGTAGTTTATCATCGCCAATTTCGTTGACCAAATGCTACGCTTGAATTTCTTTTATTTCTGTCATTATTAAGGAAATTTAATATTTCTAAATGATAGTTGAGATTGAATCAACTCAATATATGGAAGGAACGAAAAATATGCGAAAAACATTTTATAGGATAAATAGAATTACTAATGAAATATTAAATTAACAAGAAGAATTGTGTACAGAATTAAAATCATGAAAATGTGCTCATCTCTGGTCTCGAATCCATCTAGCACTTAATATTATGATAAAATAGAAAAGAATAAATGAATAGAAAAATGTACGAAACCGATACCAATAAGAGTCAAATTACAAAAAATGAATACTAATGTTGCGGCTTTATATTTCTAGGATATGATCCGATCTGTTTGTTAAAATAACTAAATTATTAAAATTTTATTTCATTTAAGTTTTATAGCGTATATTAAAATATATGCTCAGCTTCGATTTCAAATTCTGATTCATAATCGATTCGATTGTCAAATTCTGTATGGGATGACAATTCAAAAGAGGCAACCATATCGAAGGCGAGCGCCAGTGTAAGAAGGTTAAAAACCGTATTTGCCATTTTTTTTATATGAATTGGTTAAGGTACTGTATTTGTTAAAATTCGAATGCCAAACAGATTTTATAAATTTAAATATTTCATTCTGTAAAGATTTTTAATTAAAAAACATGAAACCGCTTTTGAATTTTTCTATTAACATAGATGCTTGCGTTACTTTGTCTTAATTCAACAATTTTCCGTGAAAATATCCCCGAAAAATATAACAAATATTTGATCTTGTGTAACAGGCATTATTTTTATAATTTAAACAAATTACTTCCATTCATATTTAGTCACACGTTATAAATTATTTCTACTTTGAGGAATGTTCTCCGATCGTTTTATTTTCCGATTGGTCAATCCTTTCCAAACAAGGGGAATTTATTTTCCGAATAATGAATATTCTAGAATCATATACATACGGGGACTAAAATCATTTTCTCCTAACGTAATTAACTAAAATTGTTTGCTTTTCATCACGTTATGACTATAAATATCTTATTTGGATCTTTATATCACTAGTACTAATATTAATTAGCTAGCTAACTGTAGTAGCTAGCAATGAGAAACTCTTGATCGGAAAGAGAGTGAAAAGTAATCTTTGAATGATATCGAAGTCATATATTGAACAATGGTTACTATATTGAAATTTTTTGTTTTCTTTTCATGAATTTTATTGTTTATTGAGGATCGATATGAATTCTTCTAAGAAATACAATACTGAATTCAAAGAAAAAAATTTAGGAAAATAAATAGCAGAAGTCTTATTATATTACTGAGCTTATATTTTATTTTGAAGAAAAGTTATATTTATCTCACCAATAAATGAAGATTTAAAAAAACTTACGTTACGTTGCTTTAGTGATTATAAATTGGATGATTGAAAACTTTGTGGTAGCTTGTGTCATTGAATCGGGTTGTTCTTAATAAGCAGCATCATAACATAACGGATGTTTTACCCGTTGCTCGAGGACTAATGATGATATAATGTATAATAGATGAAGAATAAAGATAAGGAACGCCTTTTCTAAAAATAAAACTATGAATCTTGGTTTTCATTGCAAATGTCAGATTTGAGTTATCATTTGAATGAAATTTAAATCGTCTTTCTTGGAAATCATCCGATATCGATATGTCATCGTTATCACTGTTTTTGTTGCTCCTTTTTAGGAATTAATTCTTCATTTGAACTTCTAATGATGAATAGTCAATCAGATATGCCTTTTTGGTAACATATATCTCTTTGAAATCAGAGAACTCTTTGATTATTGATAACATATCAGTCTTTGTCCTAATTATAATTTTAATAAAAAATTTAAAATAGAACGCTTTGCTCACCTACAAAAGACAAAGAAATCATGAAACATCAGATTAGCCTTCATTTTTCCCCTTGATGATCTACGTACGGGTTTAAGTTTTGTTTTTCAAAAGAATAATACGAGTTGTTTTTGTTGGATGTTTTGTTTCACGAAATTTTCTATATCATTAGTATGTCACTTTTCTGATATCGGATACGCTAAGATTATTTTTGTATCCTTCCGGTTAATTTCTATTTATCGTTTAGAAATTTCCAAGAGAATCGAGAAAAACCACGTTTTCTTTATATTTATTTATTATTAAGCTGTTTCACTCATATGATTTCTGACATGATATCACGATAAATCATATGTGTTAGAACATTTATATCCCGAGAAATACTTACAACGTCATATCGATATTGTTCAGGCTAAATCGAATTACATTTCATTGCTATATACGCAGATAGCAATTTGAAATTTAATGTGTCTATTCAATTTAGATTCGAACCCGGGGAAGCCATTATTGATTTTAGAGTTTGAACGCCAGCAACGGACTAAATGACGAGAATATATTAGTTAAAAATGCAATGTCGCGATCATTTAACGTTCGAACCAAAGTCTCGCATCGGGAAAAAGTAAATTCCTGTCCTGTATAACAGACATTTCACCAATCAAAAAACTTTGTCACACCGAACGCATGCACACCTGCGTAATATTAATAATTGCTTCGACAAGAAACCAAGCGATTTACGAATGAACAATACTAAAAATATCAATTAATTAATAAGAATATAAATAATAAAAAGAATAATTACTGTATTATTGTAATTATTTACATAGCAATATAATAAAGAGAATCGCATATTTGTATATATATATATCGTCCTCCCACCCGAATCTAGTCTCTTTAGTAACTTTTTCAAGAAAAAGTTATTCTTTCTATTTATATTCTCAAAAAAAACCATCTCGAAAATTAGAAACAAAGAAATCTATTTTCTTTAGTACAAATTAACATTATTATCTATATCTATATAACCATATCCATATCTATTATTTATATTACAATTCCTCGTAAAATTATAATCAAATGGCTAACACAATATTCAACCTTTTAGCATTAGCTTTCGTTCTTGATATGGTTGTTTCAATTGCAGCACCAGAAACAACAAAAAAAGCCTCATCATCATCCGGTGCCGAGGATGAAAATAATAATTCAGAGAGCTTATTCTTATTTTTTTAAAAACATTTCCACAATCAACAATACGAAAACTTCGAATATTTCTCCCAAATTTCTCATCAAATCAACCAAAGCTTAAATTAATATACTCGAACACTATTTTATCAGAGAAACGTATAAAAAACAAATGAAACATATAACGAGAGCTTTCCAATTCAATCTAAGATTCCTATTAGTTTCTTCGTTATCATCGTCATAAATAATTTCTTCCATTTTCAATTTAGTAAAGCTTTTCTTCTTCCATTTTTTTAATTTATTAACGCATTTCGTTTACATCAGTTCTCTTTAATTTAATTTAATATATTAAACAAAATGCATGTAATCTCGTTTATAAAGTGAATGCTATTCATTACAAAATTCCTTGGACAAAAAGAATCGATGTAAATAGCACTCACACCTCACCTCATTCTTGGCTACAATAATATATTTGATTTGTTTATTTTTGTTTCTAAGCGTCATTTCCAATTGTTGTCAAACGTTAGACAGTTTTCCCAGTTTGGTTCGTAATGAATAAAAACATTTTTTGGACCATTTTTCTAAAAATGACAACAACACCTGCGTGTTATTAATTGTCATATGTGTATGTATGCTAGCCATGATGCGTCTTCGCTCATCCATTGGCATTTGTTAGAACTCCCTAGAGAACAAATCAGCTTTCCCGTTGTAAGCAAAATTAATTTGTTTATCGCTATGCTTTACGGATAATTGACATCGTATTTTAGGTATTCGCGTAATCGGATTTCGTGTTGTCGTTACAGGGTAACTTTTTTCGCTCTTTTGCTCTTGACAACGAATTTCGAGCAACAAAACAAATCTAGTATTACTGTTCAGCACTATTTATTCCTTTACGTGACATCTTCCTCATGAAGTATTCCCCTTCTCCACCATGAAATCGATTAAAACCGTGATACTATTCAATTCCAAGTAAAGTGTTTTGAATAAAGCGGAACAAGAAAAAAATGATAAAAATTTACTATGAAAACCTGCTTAGTAAAAAATGTTTAGCATCCAATTTGCGTATTGACGTATTTTTTAAACCAAACAGGAGTTGATGGGACGGACAAGCTCACAAAAACTTTAGACATTTAAAATGTACTGACCGCAAGTATTACAAGCATTGCTAAATCGTAATTATACAAACTTAAAATGTTAACTCTTATCATAACAGCTTCAAAGATACATGTATTTGTCTAAAAGTTTAATCTACGCATTTACGCAGCTTTGCTTTTGGTTTATTTTAGAAATTTATCGGATATAGATAACATTATAACCTTCTATGCTGATATGATAATCCACATTTACTCATGTTTCATGATTAATTTACATGATAAAAAAGAGAAAGTATTGGGAATAGTAAATACACATATTGTTTCCTCTGTCACATAAATGCAGATTTTAAAAGGAATTGATTATGTCTGCGTTCTACCCTTTTTACATATCTGATAAAAAAATTAAGATAATAACAATAATATACAAGGTAACAACGATAATGAATGTCTTTTGGGTACTTTAATAATTGTTGTTTCCATTTCCAGCGCCATTAAAATCGCCCCAGTTAAAATTACCACCTTTATTGCCATTGTGAGTTCCATTGTTAGCATTGCCATTTACGATGCCATTGAATGAACCCAAATTCATATTACCGTTGGAATTTCCATTGGCCTTACCGATATTTTGGTTGCCATTCTTTGATCCGTTTGCATCACCGGTGTTTACATTACCACTGATAAAATATAACATATTAACGTTAGGTTAGATCACTTGATTTCTAGCGGTACAATATTAGAATAATACTTACTTTTTGTTTCCATTTTTACTTCCGACATTAGCATTGCCATTAGTTTGTCCGTTGGCTTGACCCTTATTTTTATTGCCATTAAGGTTGCCATTCTTATGTCCATTATTACTGTTTCCATTATTGGCTCCATTAAGATCTCCGGCGTTAGAATTGCCATTCAGATTACCATTGGCTGTGCCATTGTTATTATTACCGTTGAGACGTCCATTGGCCGTTCCATTATTTGCATTGCCATTGAGGTTTCCATTAGCAGTACCGTTATTTTGATTTCCGTTTAATTGACCATTTGCAGTTCCGTTATTGGTGTTACCATTGAAACTACCGTTCGCGTCTCCATTATTAAGGTTTCCATTCGCGCTACCGTTTTGGTCTCCATTATTCTTATTGCCGTTCGCTTGACCATTAGCAGTTCCGTTATTATTATTACCATTGAGTTGACCGTTGGCATTGCCATTGTTGGTATTTCCATTGAGCTGACCATTTGCGTCTCCATTATTAGAATTTCCATTTAATTGTCCGTTGGCAGTTCCATTGTTGGCATTTCCAATGATTTGACCGTTGGCAGTTCCATTATTGGAATTTCCATTGAATTGTCCGTTAGCAGTTCCATTGTTGTAATTTCCAATCACCTGACCGTTACTGTCACCATTGTTTTTATTTCCATTGGATTGTCCGTTAGCATCTCCGTTGTTGTAATTTCCAATTAATTGACCATTGGCAGTTCCATTGTTAGAATTTCCATTCAATTGTCCGTTGGCAGTTCCATTGTTGGCATTTCCAATGAATTGACCATTGGCAGTTCCATTATTAGAGTTTCCATTCAATTGTCCGTTAGCATCTCCATTGTTGCCATTTCCAATGATTTGACCGTTGGCGGTTCCATTGTTGGCATTTCCATTGAATTGTCCGTTGGCAGTTCCATTATTGG